GGGCAAGGGCGAGGCGGCCGCCGCCGCCGATGCAGGCCAGCAAGGCGGCCCGGGCCGGGCCAAAGGGGAAGCGCGCATCCGCCGCCCCATGAACGCCTTCATGGTCTGGGCCAAGGACGAGCGCAAGCGGCTGGCGCAGCAGAACCCGGATCTGCACAACGCCGAGCTCAGCAAGATGCTGGGTAAGTGCCCGGGAGGCTTGGCAACGGGGGGGGGGGGCTGTAAGATGCCAATGTCAAAGAAAGTCCCTAGACCTTGCTGTTGTTACCTACAACAGAGTAACAGCACAATCCCACGCATGCTCCCTTGGAAGTAAATCCAAGGGGGTTCCAAGTAGCTCCGCGAAAGCAGATGTGCCAACTTGAATAAAATATATTGGGGGGGGGCAGGTAAGCCCCTACTCGCATAATCGATCACATGACGTGGGGGATGCACACCATGTGAAAGGCAATGCCCATCAACGGGGGGCGGCGGCCCCCTCCAATATTTTATTGAGGACGCCAAAGGGACGTCGACCCCTAGGAGTTGGCCTTTATGCGCGGGAGCACACCCCAAAGCAACTGCCATCTCCGCAAGAGGGTCCTTCTCTTGGAAGCTGGCTTGGCCACGCGAAGGAATAACTCGTGAGCTTGGAGCGCACGGGGCAGAGCAGCAATTCCCAGGCCGCTCTCGCCCTCGATCCCGCCCACCACGCAGGCAGGGTGGGCTAAGGGAGTTTCAAAAGGCCTGGCTAAGAGGGCAGGAGGGCTGAAAAGGCTTTAAAAAACCTCGACATAGCTAATGGAAGGTCCGACGGCAAAGATTCGGATTCCAGCGACATAGATTTATTTACATTGCTATAATCCGACGTGCCTTTTTTGGCACGGGGAACGGGAAGGGAAATACTCTTTCGCAACCGGGAGGACGGCTGGCCTTCGTTTCTTCGCAATGCCGGCGCTGCTCCTCTCAGCTACTGTTGTTTATCCACATAAACTAGTCTTCTGCCATCCCGACTCCCAAAGGGGCTACACTTGTTTTAAGCCTGGATCCAAGTGTCACATACTCTAGTTATTAAGCAAGCTGCTTGTGGCAGTCCCTCAAATGCCTGAAATCCTCCCCCCGAAAGCCAGAACCAACTGGCCCGGCTCCGAAGAGGTGCGTCCCCGAAGGCGCATCCCTCTTGCCTACACCCTGCTGAGAGGAGCGTGGAAACCTCTGGCCCATCGGCCAATGGTTGCTTCACGCTGATGGGAGCTGGGAATCCAGAAACCCCTTCAGGGCCATAGATTGCCCATCCCCGAGAGGGCTGTGAGGTGGTGTGGGAGGCAATGGCCGTATCCCCATTTACCTTGGAGCATGGAATCCATTTCTGAGTAGACTGTCAGTTGACTTTTTTCCTGCCTGAGGGAAAGTCCGCGCCAAGGCAAGAATACGCCGGCAGGCAGAGTGTGTGCCGAGGTTTGGGGTGAGGGCTGTATGGGATTAACTTCAATGTTAGGACTGCCTTATCAAGTGATTTGTTTTCTTGCCTGGCTGAGGGAAGACCAGCGGGCAGAGTGTGGCGAAGTTTGGGGCGAGGTTGAATTGTGGGCGCCTGTTTGAAACCACCTTTCCCCCTTCTCTCCTCGCGCTGACAGGCCAGTCGTGGCGGGCGCTGACCCAGGAGGAGAAGCGGCCCTTCGTGGAGGAGGCGGAGCGGCTGCGGCTGCAGCACATGCGCGACCACCCCAACTACAAGTACCGGCCGCGGCGGAGGAAGCAGGTGAAGCGCCTCAAGCGCGGCGACGGCGCGGCCGAAGGCGGGGGCGGTTTCCTCCCCGCGCAGCAGCAGCAGCACCACCACCACCACCCCCCGCAGCACCAGCTGGGGCTGTCCATGGACGCGGGCGGCGGCTGCGAGGGGCTGGGCCTCCCGTACCCCGAGCAGCCCGGCTACGCCGGCGGGAACTTCCACTACCGAGACTGTGCGCCTCTCCCGCTGCCGCCTTTGGGCGCCCATTTCGGGAGCTACAACCTGCCCACCCCCGAGCCCGAGTCGCAGAGCGGCGCCTGCGCGGAGCCCGCCTTTTTCCCGCCTCACCAGCCCGACGAAGGCGGCTGCCTGCTGGGGCCCTACGGCTACCCGACGCCCCCCGGGGCCGAGTACCCCTGCAACGGCGCCCCTGCGGGCGGCAGCGCTGGGCTTTTCCGCGCCCGCTTCGCGGCTCCCGTGGCCGCCTACGCCTCTGCTCAGGATCCCGCGCAGCAGCAGCAGCAAGCCTGCCGTCGAGGAGACGCCGCCGTCGGCTTGGAGCACCTTCCCCCGCACGACGTGGAGCTGCTGGCCGACGTGGACCGCGCGGAGTTCGAGCAGTATCTGCCCTTCGGCTGCCGGCCCGGCGAACTGGGCCTCCCTCCCTATGCGAGCCACGAGGCCTCGGAGGCGAACACTGCCGCCGCTTACTACTGCGCAGCCGCGGGAGGAGGGGGAGGCTACCCGGAGCTGTGAGAGGGACTCGGCGGACTGGAATAGAGGCGGGAGCGGACTGGATCCCTCGGTTCTATTTATTGTAATTTATTGACTGGAACATTTTTAGAAACCAGGCCTGGGAACTTTGAGCGGGGTTTTTTTTTTAAGTACCCTCTGGAGCCTTCGTTTCCCCTTTCCCCCTTTCCTTCTTGCTGTAACCTCCACATCGGACAGAGCCAGCGAGGCTGCCCTTAGAGCTCACTAGGAGGCAACTCGCCCTTCGCCTCCGAACCCGCTTCCTTCAAGGGGTCCTTGTACAGAAGGGGGTGGGACTTGGGGAACCCCCAGTAGACGTTTGACTTGGAAACAGCTCGGCAATAAAATAACTCAGGTGGTTATGAGTGATGGTGTCGTTCTTGCGGGCTTCGCCGTGTGTAAATATACCCAACACCTTTGCGGAAGGTAGAGCAGAAGGTCCCCGGTTCAGCTCGCAGTATTTTTTTTTTTTTGGGGGGGGGGAGTCTCTGCCAGTCAGTGTAGAAAACATGGAGGAAGATGGGTCAATGGTCTGGCTTAGTCCGAGGCAGCTTCCTCTGTGCCAAACAGGAGAACAGAGCTGGTCAAACAATTCGCACTTCACACTCCTTGTCGGGTCCCCTCGGTGCTGCTACAAGGATCCTGGAGTAGGCACTTTTAATAAGACTTCTGCCTAGAAGCTGGAAGGTTGTAGAGTGAGATGTGTATAAAGCAGAGTCTGTTTTACCTCCATCCAATATCTGTAATTGTAAGGTGGCATATTAAAGGTATTAGACTTTGGGGGAGAGTTCGAAAATGCGCGACATCTCCCAAAGCAGTTACCATGAACATACAATTACTGAACTATAATCTCACTGGCACTCGAATCTCAAGATCCGCACCCCACTTCTTTCCAAATAATACTATATCAGATACTAGTAGTACTTCAGAAAGTTTGTTTAAATGCAGGCAGTTTCTCCCTCAGCTGGAGAACTTTCCAGAGGAGTCACTAAAGCAGGGCTCTAGATGCAGGGGTCGCACGATTTTTCTTTCCCCTCGCTACTCTTTGCTAAACTAAAGCGCTGAAGTGAAAAAAGCTGAAGGCAGTCAAGAGGAGATTTGCGTGCAAACGAATTTTCCACCCCGTTCCGCAACTCCGAAACTCGGGCTCTCTTGCCTCCCCCCAGTGAGCCTTTGGCTCATGGGTCTCGGGGATCTAATAAAAGTAGCTTCCCTTTTGGAAAGGGTATTTCTTTGCAAAATAATTTGATTATCCACTACAGCTGGTTTGAAAATAAAGGACGGCGGTGTTCCAACTTCATTTCCTCTCAAAATAGTGAGTTTACCGTTTAAATAATTTCTGGCATTAAATGAACAGGTTTGGGAAGAACAGGTAGGAGGTGTAGGTAGGTTGTGATCACAGTCACAGCCTTGTGTAAGCACACCAAAACGCTTGATCCCGAGTGCACAGGCTGGGAATGTACTTCTGCAGAAGGGTTCAGAAGGAATCCGTTGTCAACCTGGTGTCCGCCTGCTGTTACTGGGCTCTCCCACCATCTCAACACTGGTCCTGTTTGCTGGGACTGATGAGAGTTGGGGTCTAAAGCACGGGGGGGGCAGGTTGTCAAATGCTGCTGCAGGATCTCCAGCACTGTATCCACACTCTGCAAAGGAGGATCAAGGTTAGAGAAAGAAGAGGAGTTATCTGTCCCGTGATGGTTTTAAGTTTATCAGCAAGGCGCCGAATGAAATCAAACGTTCCAGATTAAATCAGGTTGATTTTGATTTCCCTTGATCACTTCCTCATCTCTTCCCTTTGAGGTCCCCTTTCCTACATTCGTAATGGAAAACCAGCACCGTGAAAACAAAAGAAAAAAACCACACACGTTATTTTAGAAAACATCTTCACCACTAGTGAGGTTGTGTGTTCCAGTCCGGACACAGAGCCTCCCTTTGCCTGGGGTAACGAAGAGTTTGTCCTTGTATATTTGAGCTTGAAACGGAAGAGGATACTGGAGATTATTTTCTTCAAAAATAATTAGTTTATGTGCCATTTAAAAAACAGTCTTACTTAAAAATCACCTCGTAAGTATTTTCCCTCTCCCCTTTCTCAGTTTCTTGAGCGGCACTTGAAAGAAACCTTTATTCCGGGAGAGCCGAAGAGAAGAAAAAAGAAAACGCCCTTTCCCTTCCTAGGTCTCATTTCAGGATCGCAGATTCAGTCAGGCGATCAAAAGAGAAAAGAGACGCTTCAAAGCAATTAGTCTATTAACTGAAATCACACTAGGAAAATTCGGTCAACCGAACTGTCAGGAACTAGTGTGCAAGAAATTGGGTCGTGCCAATTTCGGCTCAAAACTATAGCCCCTTTATCTTTAACTCATTGGAATGGTTCATCCGAACCTCCCCCTTTTTATCCCAAGGGAACAATTGGGCCGGTGACTTTCTCTTGAGTTTAGGAACTGATGGTGTTAATTTCTTCCAAGCTGCGAGATAAAGAGGCGCGGGAACATTTGTAACTTCGCACTTTGCCCTCTCACAAACGTAAACCGTTTGTGAGAGGGCAAACCGGTAGGAGGAAAAGCGGGTGGTGAATTGAAAGTTTTTCTGCACCTTGCAGCGAAAATAGGCAAACAAAGCTGGTCATTTCTGTAGATTGATGCTACAGTGCTTAAGAGTAAGCCCCATTTAAGGCAATCGTATTTACGTTAGAGTAAACGTACTTTATTGGATTGGAAGCTTCAGTATGTATTTCAAATGTCTCCCTTTTACTCGATTTCACCACCTCCACTTCTACCATAACTTCATTTTTAGTTTATGTATTTAGGTCCATTGGTTGGTAAATACCTAATCCCAAACCAATCCTTTTTGGAAGAAAGACCTACTGTGCTTGATGAGAATTCGCGATAAACACTGGTAGGTTCTTGCAGTTTTTCACAGGCCACACCTAGTCACGGTTGGGGAGCTGGATTTGGCCAGATCCTAACCTCCCCTCCCCACCCACCGCTCCACGGGTCAAATTTGACATGTGGATATGCTGGCCAGTTTTCGACCGATTGATGTCATAATGTCAGGTGATCCTTTTCTCTTTGCCCACGTAGATTGGAATCAAATAATGCAGGCTAGAGGACAGGAATTTGCAGGCGCTGACGTTCAGCTGATTGTCAGCGTCCACAAAGCTCTGTGCCTTTGCAAATGTCATTTATCACAGCGGTGCCTGCAAATACACGATGTAGGTGGGCGTAGCTTGACCAATACAGTATAGCCTTACAGGCAAAATGGGAGAACGCATGTTTATTCAGAATAAAGTTCCTGTTAAGTTTAGTGGGGTTTAATCCAAAATTACTATAGTTGGGATTGCAGCCCTGCAGTACAGTCAGATACAGGCTTTTTCTGGAATAAATTTCACTATTTAGAGTCTTATTCATAGGTAAGTGTGGATAGGACTGCAGCTTAAAGTTCAATATTAACTCAATCTGCCCCCCTTCCATATTGCTCTAGACCAGCACATCTTTAACATTAGTAATGGGTGGTTTCAGGATGAGTGGAAAAATGAGAAAGCTTTCCAAAATGCTCACTTTTTTAAAAAGTGAGGACTAGCTTAATCACACCGAAGGCCAACTATCTCTACGAGAGAAAGATAGCCCCAGCCTAGATCAAATAATCCAGCTGATAACTGGTGTATGAACTCACTTCAACATCAAAACACAATGAGATTGTCTAAATTCCAGACTTCTTAAACATAGTCTGAGTCAATTAACTGACTTGTTTTGCCAAAATGTGTATTTTTAGGCAATTGCTCTCTTTCTCATCACCACCTGTCCCTTTTGCATCTGCATGACAACTTAAAATGTCAGTTCATTTTGTGCATATTGATCACATTGATTAACCAGTGATCTACAGTTATAGTTAAGGGGAAACTTTTGATGAGATCAAGTATCACTTGGCATGATGAGCAGATCAAATCTACTAAGTTTCACTAAGCTCCTCAAGGAAAAGGCTTTTACACTTTTTATTTGCTGTTTTTCTGTTGGATCATCTCTATCTCAGCTACAGGCTGAAAAATAGGCTTGATAGAAATGCTCAGAATTATAGTTGAAGGGTAAATCAAGAGACCACCAAATACAATTCCCAGGAAGCCCTAACTGGTAAGAAGCTATAAAATCAATATAAATCCTCCATGTATAAGAAAATATTAAGAAAAATTAGTCCATGCAGCAGCAGGCGTGTGCCATTCAACAAATACACGAGGAACACCAGTGTCCATGTATTCAATATCATTCTAACATGGCCCACTCCACTGAACACAGGTCCATCTAGGCTGGCAATGTAAGGGGATTTGGGGAAAATCTCTTCAAGATGAACATTAATGAAGGAACAAGGCTGTGAAAAAAAATACATGTTTTAAAAATTATGAAGTTATTTTTATAGTTAAGAAATTATGAGGTAAATACCTTTATTGGGCCAATCAAAAGGTCATAAAATAGTGTGCAAGCTTTCAAGTTCCACAGAACTCTTCATCAAACTAGATGTTGAAAATTCAAGGGGTATGAGGGGAGAAAAAGGTTGCTGGGGTTTCTCAAGCCATCCATGTCTGCATTGGTAAGATGGAGGTGTGGGTGAAGCTAGTAGACATTCCAATGAGGTGCTTTCCACTACCTTATTTAATGACATTTTGCTTGGCCTAATAAAGATATAGCCCTCATATGGACATTGGATTTTATTTTTTTTGTAAGAGCCAACCAAGCTACCTTTACTTTTTGTGTAATTTTTAAGATGTTGCCTTGCTTCTACCTGCAATTTAGGCTTAGCAATTTGCTGAGATTCCAAGAGAATATATTTATGCTCTTATTGGAGGATATACGGTACATTAAATTGACTGCAAAGCAGGTGTCTATGGCTATCACCCTATGCCCACTCAAATGGGAGCATGTCCTGTTCTACACAATGGGATTTACATCTGAGTAAGCATGAATAGACTCAGATTACATGTGGGTTTAGGACTGCATCCTGATTTGGAAACTCATTTAATTGCAGCAGTGAGGAAACAGGAGCACATTGCAATTCTATGCATGCTTGTTTGGAAGTAAGCACCCAATTCAACCCAGTGGTGCTTGCTTCTTAGTAAATGTGCATGGGGTTGGGCTACACATCAGTTTATCCACAACAAGCGTGAATTACATCAAAGTGTACTTACAGCAAAAGTTCAGCAAAATGAGAGGTCAAATACTGTAGTCCATCTCTCTGTGTTAGGTATAAGCCCCAAAACCTGCACTCAGGACTCACAATCTTGTTTCAAGATCTTAACTTTTGATGGAGATAATCTGCAAAGCGCAGCACCCTTGGATAGTTAAGAGGACCAACAGACGCTGAGTCCTCACATGGTGCTCTGCATTGCCAATATGAAACATTTCCTAGAGATTTTCCCTTAGCTGGTGAGGAGAAAGGCTTCCACAAATGTGTGGAGGGAGGAAAGAGGCAGAAAGCACTGAGTTTTAATGGCCAGGTTGCCATTAAATGAAAATGATGATCCCTGACTTCTGCATTCATTTCTCTGTAGCTGGCTCTGGATATCTAGCTAATTGATTTAAGTGATAGTCTCGTGATTGAATTTTACATTTCTTTCTTTCTAGCAGACTCAGGACATTTCCTTATCTGATTGATTTAAGTAACGGCCACCTGAATGAGTCACAGGCCACATTAGTTCCACAGAACAAGGAAAAAACAGAGCAGGTGAGGCAACACCCATTTATCAGATTCAGGACAGGATATATGGGCAATTTTTATTCATCTGTTTTACCTTCCCTTCAATGAGCCTTCCCTCCCTCTTTCCCTTTTCTCATTTTCTCCTCACCCTGTGATATAGCTTAGGACAGGGGTCTGCAACCTTTAAGACAAAAAGAGCCACTTGGACCCGTTTCCGAAGAAAACAACAACTGGGAGCCGCAAAACCACTGCGACATTTAAAACAAATATATCTCCGGAGCTGCGATCTGACAGCGGGCGGGAAGGTGACGTCGGGATGGTGCGTGACTAACGCACGCACCGCCCCCATGCGACGTCACAGCCAGTACAGCGCCCGCCACAGTGGGGAGTGTCGGGGCGCACAATGCGCCTCCGCCCCTCGCTAGTATCCGCCCCGGAGCCGTGGCAAAGGTGTAAAAGAGCCACATGCGGCTCCGGAGCCGCGGGTTGCAGACCCCTGGCTTAGGACAACAGAAAGTGAAAATGAATGTTTTAAGATTCAGGCAGACCAAAGGAGCCTTTTCACCACCACAATAACAACAACCAGCACATTTGTTAGTCGCTTTATCCAAAAAATGTCACAATGCAACTTTGCAAGATAAAATAAAAACAGATACAATCAATTTAGAACTAGAAAATTTAAATACAACTTGATCAAGTATTTTCTAAGACTGGAGTAAATTTGTAATTTATTTAAAAGACTACTGTAAACAGTTAAAATATCTGGCAGGGATGTAATGACACTTGTAATGTGGAATTATTTATGAGAATTATGGTTATTTAACAGATGGATAAGGGTAAAAGATGCAGCAAATTTAATCTTAAATATGGAACCCAGGGAGGGAGGGAAGGAGGTCCGAAGATTCAAAAGAAGCTTTCACTTTAATGTTTGAAATGGTTATGTTAAATTTTATAAAATTACAAAAAAAAAACAAACACACAAAAAAATTATTTAGAAAATTAAAAAATTAAATTTTTTAAATTTTTTTTTAGAAATTATTTAGAAAATTAAAATACAAAATTCCTAAAATGCACATAAGAAGGACAAGCTGTACCTCACAGTGAGCATCACAACAGAAGCTATTTTGAATACAGTGGTACCTCAGGTTAAGTACTTAATTCATTCCGGAGGTCCGTACTTAACCTGAAACTGTTCTTAACCTGAAGCACCACTTTAGTTAATGGGGCCTCCTGCTGCCGCCGCGCTGCCGGAGCACGATTTCTGTTCTCATCCTGAAGCAAAGTTCTTAACCTGAAGCACTATTTCTGGGATAGCGGAGTCTGTAACCTGAAGCGTATGCAACCTGAAGCGTATGTAACCCAAGGTACCACTGTACCGAAGGCCTGGGTATATAGGCCAAGCACCTAAAAACTGACATTCATGGTGCCAGGTGCATTTCCCCAAGGAGAGCATTGTTCACATGCCGCAGAGATAAACTGTGGAAACTGTTCCCACAAGGTGCAGTCACAGCCATCAACCTGGATGGCTTTAAAAAAGGATTAGCCAAATTGATAGAGGATAAAACTATCAGTGGCATCAATAGTTATGTTCTACCTTTACCACCAGAGACAGTGTACCTCTGAATACGAGTTGCTGGGGAATGCAAGTGGGGAGGATACTATTGCACTCAGATCCTGTCTGTGAGCTTCCCATGGGCACCTCATTGGCCACTGGGAGAACAGGATGCTGGACTAGATAAGCTTTTGTCATTATCAGGCAGTATTTGTGTTATGTTCCCAATGCATTGGCATATATTATGGGGATAATTCATGCCTGCCATTAAAAACAAGGAAGCATTCAAAAGTTGAGCAGATGGGGAGGGAGACCAATGGCACCTCCTTCTTATATATGGGTAGCACTATTTTGGCTACCTAAGCAATGGCTTAGGCATGCATGTATAAAAGCACTTGTTCAGTCTAGAGAAGCCCTCAAGGTCTCTCACTGACCATTTCAGAGATCAGAATAATGCCATCTCAAGTTATCCCAACTTCATAGTTGCAGACAAGTCTCCTGCACTGTTTTTAATGCAAGTATCAGAAAAAGCCTTGCGTTTCTTTGCTTATCTGAGCGAAACTTTGTTTCATTTTGTATTTCTTAAGGGTTATGAAGAAACATTTTGTTTCTTCACCGAAAGAATGCCAGCTTCATTTATCCACAAAGAATATGTCTAGGAACAAAGTAATCTTGGGTTTTTTCCAAGGTATTGTGGGATTACTTTACAGTGTCTGATTTTCTTCAAGGCTTCTTGTTGCTGTGATTTAGAAGCAAAATTTATTCTGCATGCATCCTGTTTAAAACAATTATTTTCCTGTTTTATGAAAATACTGGAATATGTTTGTGCAGTCATAGGTTTTATCCTGAATGACCAAAAAGGCAAGCCAATATTCATCAATGTCTAAACTTGGATCCATATTTCTGAATGCGAATCTGTGCTGCTGTTTTAAATAATTTGGTTCCCGATGAGTATGAGGTGAATAGAAGATGGGTCAGTTGCTACTTCCCAACCATAATTAAGTTGGACTCCCTTTGAAATATGTGGATTTTGACATTTATTTATTATTTGATAGGACTTGATCAGCCAGGGTTTTTCATGTGGAAATTTTGTGACTTTGTGGTATGTGCATATCAGATCCTGAATATCACAAAATATGACCAATGAATTCATATCACATGCAAATGGTATGATTGGGAACATGACACCATGGTACTAAGCAGAATTGGGTTGTGTAATTAATATCTAGGCAAGGGATTAAATCATATATAGAAGTGTTAACCTGATAATTTCCCCTGCAGTTATATCAATATTTCCAAATAAGGGAGGCACCCTCTTGTTTATTGAGGAAATATGATCCCCTACGGGAGGAAACAGAAATATTATTAAAATTAATCATTAACAATTAATATATATTAAATGAAAAGTTTCTGCATGAAAATATGATGAATGGATCATTTATCTTTTCACAGGCCCAGAAAGCAAAGCTTGAAGATTGTTTGGTAATTTTATGTTTGCTTCCTTCCTTTGGCTGTAAGAAGCATAATAGTTGATCTTTCTGTTTCCTCATCCATGGAAGAAGATGCAGCACCACGGAACATGGTTAATGCTATGTGTACACACTTACACCTGATAAACCTGCTTGCTCCTGAGGCTAGGAAAGTGGATCTTACTTAATTGGTGAGAAAATAGAAGAAAACACTTCCAAGTCCTTAAGATTTACATCCTGTGTTTTCAAAACTCAGTGCTCTATAATTATTGACTTAACATTTCAGTTCATTAAACAACCATGTTAGGGTTGCTTTTCTAGGGTGTGTGTGTGTGTTTGTGGGGGTTTTTTGCGGGACGGGACGGGGATTGTCTACTTGTTCCTTTATGAAATGTAAATTAATGGGCATCATACTGTGATCCAAGAACGATTCACATAAACAAATTTTGGACTATAAGTCCCTTTAGCATAGCCAGCACATGTAAGGGGAGACTGCCTTATATATTTAATTTAGATACAGCTTAATCATAAACAAAACCTTTAAGTGGTTTATATTCCTTATGATGCCGGCAATGTCTCTAGAGCAGAAATGTGGAATCTGTAGCCTTCCAAATGATGTTTGGCTCCAACCCTCATCAACTAAACTGGTTTCTACCATCAGTAATGGCCTAGATGAGGGTGAACAAATTGAAACTTAATCCAGACAAGACAGAAGTGCTCTTCAGCCTGTGCTGGATGGGGCTACACTCCCCTTGAAGACACAGGTTCACAGTTTGCGGGTGCTTCTGGGCTTCACCCTGAATCTGGATGCCCAGGTTTCTGAGGTGGCCAAGGGGGTATTTGCACAGTTGAAGCTAGTGCACCCGGTAGCAGAAGAAGGGAGATTTTGGGGGAGTGGGGTGCCACGGATGGTACTGGGGCTGCAGGGTGCCCTCCAATGGAGAGGCCCAGTGCTGCCTAACAATGAAGCCAGGACATGGCGTGGGACACCGTGTGGCACTTGGCTAGGGTGCCCCAGCTGCTGCCTCCATCCTCGCTAAGGCTGCCCTCCAGTGCTCCAAAACTCAAAGAGCTACAGCCAGATGGTTGACCAGAGCTGGCTACAGAAAGCATACAATCTGTTTTCAGGCACATTTCAAAGTGCAAGTTATGCTTAGGCCCAGGCTATTGAAAGACAGCATTCTCTCATACAAACTTCCCAGGGTTCTGAGATCTTTGTGGGAGGGCCTTCTCTTGGTTCTGTCACCTTCACAGGCATGCAGGCCTTCTCGATGGCTGCTCCCAGACTTTAGAATTCCATTCCAAGAGAAGTTAGCTTGGCTCCCTCCTTGCTGTTCTTCCACTGGCAGGAATTTCCTAAAGAAATTACATTATCTTAAATGCAAAAACATAAACTGCTACATTTTTATAACTGGCTTTTAAAAAATGAATGGAAGTGGCATCTTTTCAAAAGGGGGATTTTAAACTCTCTCTCTCTCTTATATAAAAAATGCTGCTCATTAAAGCATCTCACTGTAGCTGCTTATCCATGGCTAGTAGGCAATTTTAGACTACCCCAGCAAAAACTTCATTTGTCCAAACTAATATTGGCTGATCTCATCTTAGCAGGTGTAAATTGAGGAACCAGTAGAGTTGATGATAGTTTAGGGCTTGGCAGGCTCCAGAAACTAAAATACTCAAGGAAGATTAATGTGTTTGTGGGTGGATGGGCAACTAATTAGTAGGGGGCAAACCATTGGAGATAATTATTGACAAATGATAATTGACTCATTAAAAATGTAAAGGGACACATAATAAACATAGCAGTTAAAATGCACACACACAAATTGACTAAAGTTCATAGCACCACTGAAATGATGTAACTTACAGATCAGTTCTTGTGAGCAGGGTTGGTTTCATAGCTTTTCCTGAAATCTGAAAGAGAGACAGCCTTGACTCCAGCTGAATATCCTGTTTAGTTCTACAGGTCAAAAAACTGCTGCCAGCATCATAAAAGTCTTTTTTCCCATCCGTGAGTGCTATCACTTTCACATCTTCAATTAACCACATCTTTACCAAAGTAGAAACTGTCACATCACTGATGTTTGATGCCCCCATTCAAAACTTGTTTACTTCGGGTAGAATTCTTATAACTTAAATATAGATCTTTATTCCAGTCTGCGTCTGCACTGGAACTAGTTTTATGTCTGGATTTGTTTTTAAATCTTTGTACTGTTTTTAGGATGTGGGTTTTTTTAAAAAAAAGATAGAATTGTAGAGTTGGAAGCGATCCCAAGGTTCATCTAGTCCAACTCCCTGCGATGCAGGAATATGCAGCTGGATCAAACCTGCAACCTGGGCATTATCAGCATAGTGTTCTAACCAACAGAGCTACGTCCAAGTATCAGCCTCAGCCACAAAACTAATACTCAGAGCAATTAGTTTTGAGCATGTTTACTTGCATTAAAGTCCATATAGATAAGCATTTATATATCGTATTGTTGTTTTATTGCTATGGTCGATGGCTGATGCAAATAAAGATTCATTCATTCATTCATTCATTCATTCATTCATTCCATATAGCTAAAGTAGCACGTTGAAGTGGTTTGTGCATTAGGCCATAAAGGCATCATGGACAAGGGCTTCCAATATTCAGGTCAGGGAAAATATGAATAGAGGCAGACAGAAATTCATATATTTTATGGGTAATATTCAATAACTCATACTTAGAGTAGCTTCATTGACATCAATCAACGTAACTCATGAATTACTGGATTGCAATCTTGGTGCTTTTTAAAAATGTTATTTTTAAGTATAAGATCAGTGCATGATTGTTTCATTTGTTGAATACCACTTTATTTGCACTGAAAACAACTCTAAAATATCTCATAAATACAATAAAATGTATGCAGGTTTACAGTGCCTTATTAAAGTCAATATTCATTTCTTGAATATTACCTTATCTGCACTGAAAAGGCCTCTAAAATGTGGCATAAATCATGTGTATAGGTTTACAGTGCAGCATGAAAGCTGATCACAACAGGAAGTATGACAGTTGCATATACTGTAGCTGAAAGAGATGTGAAATCCCAGGAACATCAGTCATGATGGGGACTGATATGTATTATTTGTGTTGCCATACATTTTGATTTTGTTTGACAATGAAAAGAAACAAGGAGAGTTTTAATTTAGCCACTGCAGTACTAGGAAAAATCAAGTTTCAGGCTTCTATCAGCCCACCTGTCTTGGTTTCCTAGCCTTATTGACCTCTGTCTGCCCTTTAGATGACAGATTAGCTGTGAACATCCTTTATAAAAGGAAATAGTGTTCTATAAAATTCACACCATGGTTTCTAATTTAGCATCAGAGCCAGGACATCCTAAAATAAAATTTGAGTCAAAAATAGATCTGTGTGTGTGGCAGGGGAAACTGTCAGGGTTGAAAGCAAACCATTAATCTACTTAAAAGTTAGCTTAATCTGTGAGAAAACATACACAAAAGGAGGGTTTGTGGCTTCTTCAGATGCTGTGTCTTTTGCTGATAGGGAGTAAAGCAAAACAAAAAAACAAAAACAGTATGTTTGCTATATCAAGTGTGATAAAGATGAGGCACTGTATAGCAAAACAGAAAGGTTTAAAACTCCACTCTCAGAACTGATCTTGCAGAGAGGACATGTGTTATAATTATGTGGCTGAAGTTTGTCTCTCTCCAAATGGCAATTTAAAATTGAAAGGTATCATTTGATGGAGCTTTTACACAGAATAATTTTGTTGGACTGAAATTGCTCAGAGTTTGCTTAAATCGTATGTGATTATACATTTGACCATGTTTGCGGTTCTTTATTGATGGCTAACTCAGCAACCTACAATATTGGTGCTGAACAATTAAATAAAAATGCTATCACCATTTTACCAGTCTATGTTATGAAAATGAATGATCAGATTGCCTTTGAGAACAATTGCTAAACATTTTGTTTCTCAAATTGTTTTACAATGTCTCATGCAATATTATTCAGCTTTATTGTAAAGTTGAATAGTGTATGTGGTTAAAGGAATAGTTTACTGCCAATCAATATTCAAAACTGCATGGCAGTTATGCAAGAAAAAGTGCGGTTAAAGAAACGTACAAATAAAAACAAGCAAACGAATTACATTTTATTCTTACAAAGTGATCTCATAGCAAGCAATTTCTGCATTATTTCTGCTCAAAAGAAGCCATCTTCAAAAATATCAGTTAGCACTGGAATCAGGAATCTAATGATGGATCCCCCCTTGTCCCCAAAAAGTATCTGGAACCAAAAAAAGTGATGCAGTCAGGATAAATTATTCAGACTACAGAAGTTTACACACCCATTTAACTTGTGCCTTTCATTTTAGTTGTGGTGTGTTTTTCACTAGGTTGTGAAGCAGAATCAAGATAGTTCTTGCAGTACTTTTCTCGGCCCTAGATCAGGCATAGGCAAACTCGGCCCTCCAGTTGTTTTGGGACTACAATTCACATCATCCCTGACCATTGGTCCTGTTAGCTAGGGATCATGGGAGTTGTAGTCCCAAAACATCTGGAGGGCCGAGTTTGCCTATGATTGCCCTAGATGAACATCTAGTCAAGCTGATCTGACTGCACACAGCTGCTGAGCTGACAGTTTAAGCTTCTGCTTACAGAGACAGGTGAATAATATGTCTCTATGAGACAGCTGACTAGCCAGAATCTGAACTAAATTAACAGAGCCATCCATACCCAAGATCCATTGGGATGAGAGAGTCTGGAATAGATGGAACTTGGGCTGTCTCAGCTAAGCAGGGGCTCAGCTGACACAACTCCCTCATCACAGCTCAGAAAGCGATATGCCTACATAACTCCCTCAACCCGGCTGAGCTCAGGCTTAGCTGACTCAGCCAGTGGAACTTAGTGATGTACTTACCCCTGTTCCAAACCCTTTTCAGTTCAGTCATGTGAAACTTACACCAGCAAAAATGGGTGGTGTTGGTAAAATTCTATTTCCAAGGCTTGTTTCCTATCTACCAGGCTTGAGGTGGGATTTGGAATAGGGGTAACTAAGCTTGACTTGGTAAAGGGTAAAGGGACCCCTGACCATTAGGTCCAGTTGTGGCCGACTCGGGGTTGTGGTGCTCATCTTGCTTTATTGGCCGAGGGAGCCGGTGTACAGCTTCTGGGTCATGTGGCCAACATGACTAAGCCGCTTCTGGAGAACCAGAGCAGCGCACAGAAACGCCGTTTACCTTCCCGCCAGATACCTATTTATCTACTTGCACTTTGATGTGCTTTCAAACCGCTAGACTTAAGCTGGTGTAAATTCCACTGCCTTCCTATACAGTCATACCTCATGTT